AGATAAGAAAGCTAATCACAAGTTTGCCTTGCTTGGTAGCAATTATGAACCGCAAATTCCATGATTTTCAGCTTCTGAATATGACCCATGACCGTCATTTGGTTAGTGTGCAATGGGGAATTTCAGCTATGACACATGATTAAAAACTGTGTTTTCACCTGTAAATCCCCAGAAATTTATTATATTTCCAGCTATGACCCCATTAAATTGCTAACTTAAAGATTACAATTAGAATCATAAAGACTATTAAACACTTTACATTCAGGATTAAAGAAGATAACTTTAGTGAAGGTTTCAGAGCAACCCACGTCAACTGACTATTCACCATTTTTTCACACTTCACGACGGCAGGGAAGGGGAAGGAGTAGTAGGTGGCGGCTGCGGAGGCGGCGACGAGGGCGGCGTAGCCCTGGTATTTTCGCAATTTTGGGGCGAAGGCGGGGGCGGAGGAGTAGGGGGCGGCGGGGGTTGGGTATGATGGGAGGGGGAGTTACGTGGCGGTTTGGAAGGGGAAGGGGTTGGAGGTGGAGGCTTGTTTGGTGGACCCGAGGGATCGGGAGGTGAGGGTGAGGGTGGTGATGACGGTGGCGGCCGGAGGGTTGGAGGGGATTAGGGTTTGAGAGAAAGATACGAAGGATTTGAGAGAGATGGGGTCTTAGATATGGATTTGAGCGGAACCAAATAAGCTGGGAATAAAAGGGGGGAATGGAAAAAATTTGGGGGGAATTTTAATTTTTTTTTAAAAGGGGGTAAAACATCCTGGACGGAAATTTCCGTCTAGGATAATTATTCTAGACGGAAATTTCCGTCTAGAATAATTGGTTTTTTTTTAAAAAATAAAAAAAATGAAACAACCGTCTAGAATACTATTCTAGACGGAAATTTCCGTCTAGAATATTTTATTCTAGACGGAATATTCTAGACGGAAATTTTCCGTCTAGTTTAGTACATTCTAGACGGAAAAAATTCCGTCTAGAATATTCCGTCTAGAATACGTGGTTTTCTACTAGTGCCCCCTTCCCCGCAAATTAGATTATTTTCATCATCATCATCTTCATCTTCTTTTCGTGGCCTCCAACTTCTTCTTCCTCTTTGATATGTGTAACAGTAGAAAATAAGAGGTTTCACTATGTTGGGGGAGGGTGTTAATTCTTAAGGAGAGACATTATTGTCCTTTCATGTATTTTTTAACACCGTTAGCTAAATTTAAACAGTTACCAACTCAGGGTATTTTTTGCTATGTTTTGTAACTTAGGGTATATAACTACTACAAGAGCAAAACAATAGGGTATATAAGTGTCATTTAGCCATGCTTAAATTACAATAAAAACATTCTAAAATTCAGAGATTTCAAAACTTAGAAACAACATAGATAGATTCCAGGAATTACCATTAGGCACATAGAAATTTAAAATTAGTAAAAAAATAACCTCAAAGGTACAAAAATTACGAAAACTCTCTCAAAAGTAAAAATTATTAAAAAATTCTAAAATTTTAAAACTTATAACTGGTACACATCAAATTTAGAAATTATCAGCAAATTACTAAAAATTTAAATTTTTTAAAAAACAACCCAAAATTTTAGTAATTATAAAAATACCTTCAAATTTTTAAGTTACGAGAAATATTCTAATATTTAAAAACTTATCACCAATACATGAAACATGAAAATTATAAGCGCCCAACTTAAAATTTAAAATTTTTATAAAATACTATCAAAGTTTAAAAATTGCAAAACACACTGTCAAAAGTTTAAATCACAAAAAGGCTAAAATTTGGCAAAGAAAAGAGGAAATGTTTGATATTATTACATTAAGATATAATAGATTAGCATTAATTGATTATAATGTATAAATATTTATCTCTAATGTTGATAATATTTATTTATAAAGTAAAAGAAATACAAGGAGTTATGTATGGAGAAACTATCGAAAGTTCAGAGATATCCTTTAAAAGAACTAAGTTGTTTTCATTTCAAATGGAGAAATAAAGGAAATAAACTCAAAATTCAGAAACATTCATGAATCACCTGAATTGACATTGATAAAAAGTATATCGAGCAAAGAAGCACTAACCAAGTTCTCCTTGAAAAACATATTAAACAATTATGTCCTAATTAAAAAAACATTATTCATGAAAAGTACAAGAAAAATTAGTAAATAATTATAAATTTTCATACTTTATTCTAAAAATACTGAAGGAATTATAAATTCAATATAAAATTTCATAAAAATAATCTTGCAATAGAAACTAAAGTGAAGCCATTGATCAATTACATTGCGTGGTATAATAAACTAGATAAGATGAGAACAATCACTATAGTGGACAAAAAATACACATGATACTTAGTTACCATAGTGTAAGTGAAAAAGTTAAAATTGATATTTTTCTTTTCTCTATATAGTGGCACAACTCTGCAAGTATCCTTATTTGGGGATATGAATACCAACGAAAGATCAATTTTTAAGAACACGATCAAAGATAAGCATGTAATAGTACCGTCAAAGTTCAAGATCTTTAAATATGAAGGTAACATATTTTACAACTAAAATTCTTATTAAATGCCACTAAATATAAAATTCATCTTATACCTGTCTCAAATTTGTATGAACGATATGCATGTCATCGTAAATTGTATTAATAATATATCAACTTATTGAAGAAATAAAAGATAAATAAGCAAACCAAGCAAACATCCATATAACACGATAAAGAAAAAATATTACACTTTAAAGCTAATATGCATGGCTCATTAAGAACAAACTGCTAAAACAAAAGCATCTCCATCAAGGCTCTTTATAAATACAACACAAATTTAAATCATTTAATATTTTTAAAAATAGCTTAATTTTTGAGTAAAATCAGGAATCTTTAGAAGTGATTTTCATGAACTCTTTTAATTTTTTATATGCTTACGGGGATGCTTTTATCATATAAAAGTGTAATAGAGTTAGCAGTAATCTTTATTTTATGATTTTTTCTAAAGTTTATCAGTGATTAGCAACAAAATTTATATTCTCTTTAGTTTCATTCTAGCACACTTTTAATTAACCATCTTGTCTTATTAGCTTTAATTATTCATCCTTCTTTTATAACATTATCTTTTCAAGTGTTTTTCACTTTTACAATATTATATCTTCTTAAGGAAAGCTTGGTTTCATGTCGATCTAAATAACGTAAAAATTCAAATTAGCTTTAGATTATAGTTATTTCTTGTCAATGTGTGTGTGTGTGTGTGTGTGTATATATATATATATATATATATATATATATAAGTAGAGGAGGGTGATGTGTGCTCTCATAACCAATGTGGGACTAAACCTAATATCAACAACCCCCCTCAAACTCATGTTGGATCAAATAAAGTGAGTTTGCGTACAAGAAACTGGAATCGATGAACAAATATGGCCTTCGTGAAGAAACCTGCAAGCTCATTGGTGGATGAGACATAAGGAAGTTTAATTGTCTTGTCCTTGATAACTTATTGATGAACAAAATAAGTGTCAATCTCAATGTGTTTGGTCCTCTCATGAAATACTGGATTATTAGGAATCTAGATGGCACTCTTATTATCATAATAGAGAGGAGTAGGAGTCGGAACAAAAATATCAAAATCACTGAGAAGACGACGAAGATGAATAATCTCTTTAGCTGTTGTGGACATTGCACGATACTCCGCCTCAGTGCTGGAAAGGGAAATAATATCTTGTTTCTTATTCTACCAGGAAATAAGAAAATCACCAAGAAATATACAATAACCTATGGTAGACTTCCTGATAGTTGGATCACCAACCTAATCAGTATCAGAATATGCACGAAGCTCTAAATTAAATGTAGCATGATACAGAAGAGAGCGAGTGCTAGTGCCCTGGAGATACCGAAGAATCCATAATAAGGCAGCATAGTGTCCAGAACGTAAGGCATCAACAAATTGACTGACAATGCCAACAACATGAGAGATATTTGGTCAAGAGATACACAAATAGACCAACTGACCAACAAAATGTCGGTATCGGGTGGGATCAGATAGAGGCTCACCATCAGTAGATCGAAGTTTGACATTCTGATAAAGTGGAGTATCGACAGTTACATCATCAATTAGCTCAGCACGAGCTAGAATATCCCAGGGATACTTCTGTTGAGATAGTAGTACTCCCCGCAGGCCCTGAGAAATTTCTAGACTAAGAAAATAGCGAAGAGATCCAAGATCCTTCATGTGAAACTGTTGTTGTAATTTAGATTTTGTGTACTGTATACCAGCAACATCATCACCTATAATGATCATATCATCACCTGTAATGATCATATCATCTACATAAAAGAGTAATAAAACTCTGCCGTGCGATGTAGTGTGAATAAGCAAAGAAGCATCTTAATGACTTTCCATAAAGCCTGCCTTGAGTATGACATCGTGAAAATATTCAAACTAAGATCGGGGTGCCTGCTTGAGACCATAAACAGCATGGTGAAGAAGACATGCATGTCCTGGAGGAATATTGTACCCTGGAGGCGGTTGCATATACACTGTATTAGATAAAGAGACATGGAAAAAAGCATTCTTGACATCCATCTGATATATGGGCCAACGATGAACAACAAGAACTGCAAGGAGAGTACGAACGGTGGACATCTGAGCAACAAGAGCAAAGGTCTCCTCGTAATCAATATCTTGTTGCTGAGTAAAACCTCAAGTCACTAAACAGACCTTCCGACGTTCAATGGTACCATCATGATGATACTTGACTAGATAAACCCATTTACTGCCAATTAGAGAGACGCCAGGAGGACAAGGATTAACATCCCATGTATGTGTTTGTTGAAAGGCCTGACATTCTTAAATCAGTTTCAATCAAGCTTATGAGGATTTCATATCAAGGGATCCTAATACTTTTTGTAAGTCTTACTTTAAAACTCATAGCAAATGTAATATAGTAGATAATAGCATGGCTGACACTTTTAGTTCTTTTATTCTGGTGGCAAGATATAAGTAAATAGTGTCAATGCTAGAAGATATAAGGTTGGCTTTGATGGATAGGATGCAACAAAAATTCAAATTGCTTGAGACATTTCATCTGATAAGTAACATAGCTCCTAGTATATATAAAAAGTTACAAGAGGCATATGAAGAGCAAAAAAAGTATGAGATTTATTGGAGTGAGACTGATGAAGAGAGAGGGTTTGAAGTTAAACATGGGGGAATCAGCCATGATGTGAGTTTAGCAGATATGACATGCACTTTTAGGGTGTGGGATTTGACTAGGGTAACATGTGTACATGCTATTAGTGCACTTCTGTTCATGAGGAAACAACATGAAGCTTATGTGTTAGATTACTATTCATATAACACCAATTTATTAACATATCATACACTATTAAACCCTATTAAAGGAAGTAAATTCTGGGATATGGAGGGAGTGGATATGGTCTTGCCCCCTAACATTGCTAAAAAGAACCTAGGCAGGCCCAAAACTACTAGAAGAAGGGATCCTAATGAAGAAAGAAAGAAATCTGGTAAGGCATCAAGAGTAGAAGTTCCTACCAAGTGTTCTAACTGTGGTCAAAGTGGACATAAAAGGAGAAACTGCCCTCTTCCAAAACAAAATGCTATACAAGTAAGTGGTTTTAAAAAAATTTATATCTGTGCATGCTGTCAATTATGTATCATATATGTGCACCTTTTATTGACATTTTAGGAATTACAAGCAACTGAATGAGCTTTAACTCAATCAGGTAAAATTGGAAGACCAAAAGGAAGAAAAAAAGAATTAGCCAATTACATTGAAACACAATAAATCAAGATATTCCAACACCAGCTACATTAATAAGAGGGAGTAGAGCTAGGAGAACTAGAAATTTACAGAAAAGAGGACATGTAGGAGGCAATGGTGATGAATGTCATTCATAAGTCTCAAGAAGGGGTGGAATAAGAGGCAGAGGAAGAGGTAGACGCTATTCATCAAGGATACCTGAAGGTTATGGTATATGGTAGGGAGATGATGGTCAAATGGCATATAGAGCTTCAACTCAAACAACTGCCAGAGTCATTCACACTCCATCACAAAATGATTCCCAAGTGATAGAGTAAAAGCTATAATGCATGTAATTTTGCCAACTCTGGAAGATAATAACATATTTTCTTATATTTTGCAAGCTTTGTCTAACTTATATGTATATAAGAGAATATTTTTTGGGCCGAAGGTAATCCATGTATAAGACTTTCGGTGATGTCAGTGAATTCTCAATATTGCAATGATAATATGGATTATATGTGTATGTGAAATTCTCAATTATGCATACCGATTATGATTTATTGACAGGATGATGATGAACATAGTGTACATGGTTTAAATTTGAATAAAACATGCATGTACATAGTGAACATGCCCAAAATTTAAATAAAACATGCATGTACATAGTGTATATGCACATATTTTGAATAAAACATGCATGTACATAGTGCGCATGCACAAATTTTGAATAAAATATGCATGACACACCAAATGACACCAAATATTTTCATACATCTTCACACAAAAACTTCCAAACAAATCTGATCAAGATTAAGCTTTTATTTAATCATAATCTTTGTTACATAAGTCAAATTCCTCTCTCATTGTGTTTGGCATCACTTATATTGCTTAACGTTTTTGAAACATGCACTTAAATATTTTAAGTTTCTAAAAATTGGTAGTTAGATATCCTAAAATTTAAAACTTAAACCTAAATACTCTCAAGTTTGCATAATCAAGGGTATTTAAGTGCAAGTTTTAAATTTTGTAGGATATTCAAGTGCATGTTCTTAAAACTTTAGGGTATGCAAAATTAATGATATCTAAGTGCAAGTTTTTAAAATTTAGGATATTTAAGTGCATGTTCTTATACTTCATGGTATGTAAGTGTTGCCAAAACAAGCGAGGGTTTATAGGTGTCAGCTTTTAAAACTTTAGGGAATATAAGTGCTGCTAAAAATAGGGAGGATATATAAGTGCAAGCAGGGGAAACTATACACTATTTAACTACAATTAAGCCTACTTTTCCCTATTCTATTTTAATAAATAGTATCCACTAAATATAAAATTTACAAATTTCATACATGCATACGTTTAGATAAGTAAGATGATTGATGCTAACTTTATTATATTTTTTCTAAACTACTCTTACACTACAAGAGAAAGAACTATAGACTCCCTTGATGAATTATTAATCTTTAAAAATGTTAAAAAAATCGAACCCCAAACTTTTCTTTCTTACAATGTGAAAATAACTTGAGTAGAGTAGCGTAGTTATCACTACTCTATAAAATTATAAGTCTTAGCCTCATTAAAACTTCAAAATTTGATGATCGTAAAACACACTAAAGATGATGTTAAATCAATCCTAATTCAAATTTCATAGCGCACGTGGTTAAACTGAATTTGAAAAGATGCCATTGAATTAAGTAATTCTTATCTACATCCATGAGGTGCAAAGCCATTTCATAATATAAAACTATGAGGGTTAACCCTCACCATAATTTTAAAAAATACTTTTTAATTTAAAAGAGTCATAATAAACATTGTAATGTCATTCTTTTTCTTTTTTTTTCCCTCTCAACTAGTACAATACACATGTTTTGCATGTGAATGTACATGTTTTAAGTTTTGAATTTGTTATTGAATAGTAAAATTATGTGTTAATAAATAAAATTGTATAATCAGATTGCTTAAAAATTATATGAATTAATTATTATTGTGTAGTTATTGTAATTAAATGTTTACTATTAACTAATTTAAAATTTTAATATACTATCATTACCAAAATTAATAGTACTATTATTAATATTAAATAAATTTTTAAAAAGGTTAGTTTTCTATCATTACCAAGTATAGATTATTTAGTATAATATAATAATCTATGAGAAAATTCACTAAAAATAATATTAAATTATTTATTTAATTTATTTAAGAATATAATACTAAATAAATTGTGTAATTTATAATTTATATGATATTTTTAAAATAATTACACTATTCATGCGATTCCAAATTTATTCTATTTAAGTTATTACTCATCGAATTATAGTATAATTCTTAATAGTATTTAGTAATATATTATTCTATTTATACTATTATTTTATTACAATTCCTAAATAATTATTATAATAATTTAATTGGTTACTACTAATAATTTTTTATACTTATTTTATAAATTATTTTATTTAAAAATTAATATTTATAATATTATTGATAATTATAATTATTTAGGAATGTGAGGAAGTGCTTATTTAATAAGAGGTTATATTTATTTAATGAAAGATTAATTAGAGATAATAGCATTTATTTAAAAGGTTAGTTTTCAATCATTACCAAGTATGGATTATTTAGTATAATATAATAATCTATGAGAAAATTCTCAAAAAATATTATTAAATCATTTATTTAATTTATTTAATAAAATAATAGTAAATAAATAGTGTAATTCATAATTTATATGATTTTATTAAAATAATTACACTATCTATATGATTCAAAATTTTCTATTTATTTATTGCTCATTGAATTATAGTATAACTTTTAATAGTATTTAGTAATATATTATTCTATTTATACTATTATTTTAATTATTTTATTGTAATTAGTAAATAATTATTATAATAATTTAATGGGTTACTACTAATAATTGTGTATACATATTTTATAAATTATTTTATTTAAAAAATTAATAGTTATAATATTATTAATAATTATAATTATTTAGGAAGGCGAGGAGGTACTTAATTAATAAGAGGTTATATTATTTAATGAAAGATTAATTAGAGTTAATAGCATAGTTAGAATTTATCAAAATTTGAGAGGGCAAAAAAGAAAATTAAAAGTTTTAACACATAAAGTTCTCTTTTTATAGTAGTATAGATAGATAAGTACGATGAAAATGAGAGGACTCTTAAATTTTTTTAATCAAACTAGGCTTGACTGCGTAAATCTGTACTACATATAAAAGAGGATTCGAGTGTTAAAACTTTTGAATTTTCCCCCTCTAATTTTGATTTTTTTTCCAATTTTATCTTTAATTAATTGCATATAATGTCTCATTCTCATTCAATATATTTAAATTACATGCTCAATATAATAAATACAAATATTACAATAAACATAATATATATAGATAATTGATATAATGCATATGTCAAACTAATATTACTACATGTTTCATTTTGTAAGTAACGTGTCAACTTAAAATGTCATTAGTGCAGGCATTATGCATACTTGAATCATGAGTTACATTTAAATTGTAGTCTATATTTTAGGGGCAATTAAAACAATTGTTATGGAGTCCAAAGAACCTACCTTTTGCCATAATTATTTATGTTATAATTAGGAGTACTAATAACTTTTACGTACAACCTATATAAAGATTGATTTTGCTCTTTGATTACTCAATCCTTAAAAACCATTTCTCTGGTTACAACCCTCTCATTATCAGACAATTGAGAATTAAGGTACGATGAAATAACATGCCTACTTAAATTTGACGTTGTTTTATTAGAATTGTTATTTCTAATTATTGAGAGCAGAGACTTATTTTGTTAGGTTTTGTGTTTAGGTGGTAATGCTACAAGATCATGTTTCTTATATATATATATATATATATTTTTGGAGATGACTCCCTTTATAGAGTTTCGAGGGGGCGTTTTGGCATATTCTAAGAAAAGGGGTTTAAATATGTGGGTAAATTACACTAAACCCTTGGGAACTTTTAGCTTTTTGCATTAAATCTGCAAAACATTTTCAAAATCATAATAAACTCCCAGTTACTTTTGAAATTGCAGAGATCCCCCACCAAGTTTCCACATTTTGTAGATAACCCCCATACATTTGAGCCCAAAAACAACATAGAAAAGCATTTTGAAAGTTTTTTGGGGGTTTAGTGTAATTTGCATTGAAGACAGAGAGTTTTATGCAAAAGGTATTGGGGATTTAGTCCTTTGAAAGTCTTTGGGGGCATAGTTGCACGACCCTTAAATGCATATGAACAAAATGCAATGCAATGTGTGCGATTAAGGAAGGCCCACAATAGATTATATGAGACAATAATTTAATATAAGTATACATATCTATATCTATACTACTTATAAAAGAGAATACCCATGTCAAAACTTTTAATTTCCTATTTTACCCTTTTAAATTTTGATAATTTGCAATTATACCATTGATTATAATTAATATTTAAATAATTATCCATAACTCTTTATTAAATGCACCTCCTACTCTCCCTAAGAATATTTGGTCAAGAATAAAATCATTATCAATAGTTTATAATCTAATACTACATACAAATGGTTATGTCTATATTTAGAATTTTAGAATGTCAATATTCACTTTTTGGTCTATCTTAGTTGCATGTCGGGGGGCTTGCAACTCTTCTCTCTAAGAAGTTGAAACAATTGTATTGAAGGGACATCAAAGTTTAAACCATGGGAGGACCAGAGTTTTGTAGAAACTACATAATGTAAAATTAGAGAATGATGCACTTTATTCTTTATTGCTTTGGGTCTTTTGAGCACCGACTGGTAATTAGTCAAAAATTTTAACTCAAGACTATGAATTTCTTCTCAACCAGTCACAAAATAGTATAAGACAAAGTTAATCAAATAATTATAATAACAAGATGTAGAGTCTAGACTTTTAAAATTCAATTTGAATCAATGCATAAACTATGAACCAATTAACTGCAA